ACATCAGCAAAAGCAAGGCAAAGCCAGGTGCACCGGTGACTTACTTAGCCCCAGCGAGTCCCTCGAGCGCGTTTGCTTATACGTCAACGTGTTCGATACCGACTACACAGACATTACCGAGAGCAGCAAACACCCGCCGCTGTGTGTTACTTTGATTCGAGTCAGCAATCAGCCTGGCTGTCGGAACCTGCCTATCGAACCGCAGCTGACACTCCACACAAGCTCATCGCACCAAGCGTTACCATTCTCGGTCCTTCGTTGGGTATTAAAGAGCAGCCAAAAGCGGCAACACGAAAGCAGCGACATCTCGCGATGAGACACCTAGCCTTGGACTATCATCACATGTCGAATAGAAGGATTTAGGCTTCCGCTTCAAGTTACCGACCGGCAATAAAGCTCCGGCAGCGTAGTGCTGCTACATACCTTACTCGATTCAACAACAGGGGTTATCCTAAAGTGGTATAGGAAGTATGTTTTTACTAGGTAGCTCAAGGAAGTGATATATACTCAGATTGCATAACTCAGAACAAATGTCGGATGTTGCGCTTTCACAGCTAATACATCTAGTTTTCGATCCGATCCTGAGTATTCATGAAAACTGATCGATCATTGGCCTGATGCGTCAGTCAGCATCGAGAAGGTCCACGTTACACTGGTTCGCAAGTCTCAATCGCAGAACTCCACACGGCGTTGCCTGATAAATCATATTGTTTGTTCAATGCATCATGATACCGGCGCCGGCAATGCATTCCAAGCAATTGACGAAGACTTTCGGGATAATGGTTTCCATTCCTAGGCTCGGCCCGGATGGTGTGTTGCGTTTCACAGGTTTCAGGGCACTTGCTGTACCAACGTGGTAGTTGGCATGTCACAAGTTTACTCGGCAACAGCAGATTCAAGAAACCCTCACCTCCAAGTTTTCCTCTTTATGCCTTCGACCGTCAACGCACATCGCCTGCGTGGCTGTGCTTTCTGCGGCGGTGCATGCACAGGGTCCTGAGCTTGACAGAAGTTCACGTGGCCTCACCGACTACGCTGATCAAAGACATCGTGAGGTTCGCTAGCTTTGCGTGGCTATCTCGGCTTAATAGAAGACCATGCACGTCTTCTAACCCTATTCGTAAACTGGAGTCCAGAGGTCTGGTTCCCTTACTGATGGTTGGTCGGAGGCTGGGCCGAGATGTGTCACTGGAGTCAAATCGAGCTCCAGGGCCATCGTTCGGCACCCACCTACTGAGCTTCTGAAGAACCACGAGGGCATCGACTGTGAGACCCGATAGATGTCTCATTCCAGCTCGTCTGTAGTGCTCGGCTCTGCGATCGCTATAACTTATGCACGGGATTTGTTGAAAGACTTGCGACGATCAAAAGGCCCATATCGCATTCCTGAAGTAAGCGTTAAATCCTCGAGTCCTCTGCATGCGGCTGATGCGTGCAGAATGCCGACGGATGTAAGCTTGCAATTAGGTAGCACGCCATGGCGGGGAAGCGCGACTTCACACTCTACCTCACAACTCAAGTGTGGACCTGCGTACTCTTCGGCCTGTGTGATATGACTCAGAGGTAATGATGTGGTCAAATGATCGCTAACGGCTGATCTAGTACTCGGTATAGACCGAAAGAGTGAAGCTTCTTGGCCTTCTGATTGGCTGTTCATAGCAGGAAAATAGCAAGCTACTGGGTATTGTGATCAGCAGTGCAACAGATCGCGGGTCAAAATTCTACGCAAGCGCGTTGGTACAGCCCAGTGTGCGACCGTAAGACAGTTGCCAACGGAACAGCCTTAGTTTGCTCTGTCTGCTTTGCAGCATAAGCCGTTCGACCGAAAGCATGAGGATGAAAGTCCCAGTGAATTACAGATATTGACAAGATTGGCCAAAAAGAGTAAAGCCTGTACTCCTCGCGTACGTTGGCTATCTTAGGAGACGCGAGCATGTTGGGCTGTGATAGCGACTCTTTCGAAAAGTACTGACGAACTGTCGGCGATATGATCAGGAAACGTGATCTTTTCTTTCACCTCTCTTGGCCCGCCAACAAGGCCGTAGCAAAGTGTCGCCCCTCTCGATCTTTCCTCGCCGTTTGAAACTAAATTGGACTTCATCAGGACAAATACATTCATTTGGGCAAAGTTCTAGATGGAAGCCGGCAACGTCTATCAAGGCCGTACTGAATAGTTCAGTTTCGAGGATGGCAATATTGCGAACGACCCCTGAAGCTGTCTTGCAACCTGCTCGGATTTTATGAATTTGGGGCGCAACGGTAATTAGGGCTATATATGAAAATAGGATGAGGGAATAATGCACAATTGTGTGAACGAGAAGAGTGGAGTCAGCGCGCTTGCTTTCACATGTCAATACCAGACTCAAGCTAATCCAGACTGAGCCATTGTAGAATCACCTAATTTTTGACCTTCTGTCAGGAAGTTCGATTCTTGTAGAATAGACACAGCCCTGGAAAATATGCTCCCTCACGTGATATAGGGTAGCTATGTGGACAGTGAACCATGATGTGTTCTACAAGCGAAGGCTTTGGTACTGCATACGCCATGCTCCTAACTGAGTATCTGAGTGACTTTAAGTGCGTCCTCCTTCACTCGAAGCTAAGGCTATCGTCATCGCCTTCCATGAAATACAGGTGAAAGTGAGACTTCGCGACTGCCTTGATGGGTCCAAGCTACTATATAGCCCATCTTGTTACTCTCGGTGCCGCCTTCCATCCGTCAACGCACAACCTCGCCTCAACTGCGCACATCTCTAATTGCACACGATGGCAGATACAGCCCCAGATTCCGTCACGAGTTGGCTCACCGAGCTGGATGGAATTGACAATGAGTGGAACATGACTCTGTTCATACACAGCAGCTTTGGTAAATTGCCAATGGAGATGTTGGAGAACATTATTCGATTTGTCCCAACATTCGATCTGCCGGCTCTCGCTTGCACAAGTCGGCTTCTGTGCGAGTTGGTTGAGAATAAGCTTTATCGTCACATCGTTGTGGATGGATTGATTTCCAGGACTAATTGGGGCACTTTCAAAAATGTGATCTGGCCGTTACACCGTACCTTAGTTCTCCGCCCAGATCTTGTGAAGAAAATCAGAACTTTCGAATGCGCGGTGTTCAACGAAGACGATACGGTCGAAGTAGACATCTCGAACGTCGACCTTCTCGACCAAGGCCTGCACACAGTCGCCAAGATCTCCGTCAATCAGATAGCGACTGTAGGATGCATGGTACTGAAACGACTCATCAACGTCGAGACTTTGAGCTTGAAATTACATGAAGGTAATGGCACCACGCCTTGGACCCTCACACCCAATGCTTTGCACAAGCTCCAACCAGGATTCGATCGTAGGACTGCACATACTTTGCACTTACCCGGCCTGCAGAAGTTGAAAAAGTTCTACTTCGCTGGTGCCACGTTTCACTGGGCCCTTGCAAAGTTGCCATGTCTACAATCTTTAACACTCTCCCGACCTTGTATCATACTTGATGATGGAGCCCCAGGGGAAGTCAGCTCCAGCCTTACTCAGCTGGGAATCTGTGCTTGTACCGACATACTCAGAACAAGAAGCGGCGCTTACTGGAATTTCGGTACATTCCTAGCTCACTTTCCGGCTTTGACGGACTTGAAGCTGTCCATCTATGATTCTAAGAACGATGAAGATTTCAGATGGCTAGCCAGTGGCGGGCGAAGTTACGACACTTTACTCCAACGACTCACTCCAGTGGCTTCACACCTACGCAGTCTAGATTTGGGAGTCTATGATGAGAAGCCAGGGGACAATAGGGCCAACAAATTCCTTCAGACTGTCCAGCCAGCTTCTAACTTTAAACAATTCACTGCGCTTGTGGACCTGGTTGTTCCATACCAGGGCCTCCTTGGAGAACCGGTATCTCCCTTTGATCCCCTGCCGCCACCAACTTGGATCCTGCCCAATACGCTTGAAAGTCTTGAGGTACACTGTCCCCAAGTGTCCATCTTCGACTGGATCGCACGCCTACGAAAGACCAACGATGAATTTCCTAGCCTGGCCAAAATCTCTCTATACAGCCAACTTCCGTACGGGGACGAGTACCCGGAGATTTGGATCGAGCAACGCGAGCATCCTGTCGTGCATACTCTGCACAACACCGGAATCTCATTCGAGAGTACTTATCGAAAGCGAGACTGGAAAATAAAGTGGGAGCATTTCGATGACGACATTGCGGAGGCGGCTGAATGGCTTAATGGATTGCGGGTTGAGGGCGAATAAGTGTGTGACTCTAGAACTTGTAGTCTGTCGTGAGTGATATGGCATGACTGGACTCCTTTTAGCCAAAATCCGGAGCTTGGGTGTGAGACACGCACTGGGACAGTTAAATATGCGACTGTCTGCATCAACTCACAGGAAAACGAAGTCTTACTACCGGCCTGATAGTTTAACATGTACTGAATCAACGTATGATCATCCAATTCATAGTGCCGTGTGGCCCAGATATATATGAAATTGTATCGTCAACAAGCATACCAGCGACTACTAAGGAGGCATGGCTTGTCTCACCATTAGTTTTGGCCATCTTGATGGCAGTGGTATTTTTGGTTGCCTGCAACTTCGTGGCTTTCCTTGCGTGTGAAATGATCCAAGCCATTGTTTCAGGTAGAGAATTCTTGGAGGTTCCCAGACGACACGGACGCCATTTGGTCCGTATCCAAAGAAGGTATTGCATAAGTAGACTTGATTTCAAAGTGCACCTCACTCGCACACAAAATCTGGGTTCGTACAAAGATAGAAAAAGAAAAGAAGAAGTCGAATCTGAGTTCTACAACAAGCGCGGGGAGAAAGACGAGAGTAATATCGCGATGCTTTGTATAGTCTTGTCGCGAAGAGCACAGTTCAGAAACACGGATGAGAGGAAGGACCAAACGCATCATGGATCCTGGGCAATCAAGGTAAATTTCTACTAATATATATGTTCTATTTTCAAAATTTCTCATCAAAGGAGTAACAACTCGAACAACGGGCTCGTGGTTTAGTGGTATAATACTCCCTTAGCATCTCGCAGCTCCATTGGAGCCTTCGAAATCCTGACTGGGAGTGGTCCGGGGTTCGATTCCCCGCGAGTCCATCGTTTTTTTGGAGCATTGTACACACTCAGGGGTGGTTGTGGTGGTGTCGGATTCGGGTGTGAAGTTTTTTTTTGGCAAGTAGAGCGGGGCCGCACCGGCGAATGACCGGGGCATGTTTCTACAGACGCAAACAGGCTGTTCCTTTCAGCTACAGAGATCTATCTCCCATCGTACTTTTGCTGAGCTTGTAGTCGACTGTAGTAGAAGCAAGCTATAGTTTATTTCAAGAATCGGGACAAGAGAAGAACGACCTCATACAACAAGGCGGCTTCATCTCCTTTTTGCCCTTCAAGATGTTACAAATGGAGGCCGTCACGACTAGAATCAAAAGAATACCAGATGAGTAAATCTGTCCTGCGTGACACACTGTCCGACTGTACTCCACTCGCGACCACTGTGCTTCTGCATCCCTGCATCCCACCCCGCGCAAAACCCTCAAACCCACTTCGCTGGTTCTAGCCACCCGCACAAGTCTCGCAACTCCACCCGCACAAATATCGCAGATGTGGCGCGACCAATCACACTTGCTCCAGCCACAGCTGCAAGGCTCAACCCCTGGTAGACTAACCTCGTTGATAAGGAAAATCGTTGCTATTCTCACTTTTAGACTCGCGATGGAACGGCAGCAGGGTACAGCCGTTGCGTTGACCGCACAAGTCGCGCAGAAGAGTGTATTTAAACCGATGAAGACTGCTCTCAATGCAATTCATTCAAACATCAAGCATATAACCATTCATCAATACTTCCACAACGTCATCTTCATTCCGATCTCTTTGATCTCAAACACCTCGACACAATGCAGTCTTCTACCATCTACCTTGTCAACAACGGCAACTGCGGTTGCTCCGGCCAGAGCACTTGCAACTGCGGCAAGGACTGCACATGCGACAACTGCCCTGTAAGCACTACTTCTTTGTGTGATCTGTGCTCAACTCGATACTGACTTTGTGCAGAAGAACTAAGTCATTGGCTTATGTGTGAAGCGCAATGATCCCTGCTTCCTTCGATACGGAATGATGCGAGGGGCATGGAGTTCTGAATGGATCTGGTGAAGACCGGATTGTACCAAAAGGGAGAATTTGTCACGAGTCATAGATACCAGCCGACCGTCAAGTCGAAGTCAACAATTTAGTTATTACCAAAAGTTTGTTTTGTTTGTTTGCTCCTACAGGCTTTCTTTTGCAAATTTTGCTAGTCAGAGAAGGTGCCTAAACATCTCTCTACCCCATGACGCTGGCGGTCGAGGTCTTGTATACCACCGGCCAGGGACAACTCAGTGATCCGTATCTCTCAGGCCTCTCTCACCTCCCCGAATCGTCTCTGTCACTGCCTAGCCACAGCAGACCGTGGCGTTCTCTTGCATACGATCCTGCCCTCCCTTACCGACGTGAAGGCTCTCCCAGCCACAGATGAAGTATCCGATATAAGCACCGATGAAGATGCAAATGATGATATATCCATTGTAGTACATCGCAAGCAGCATGACGAAGTAAGCTACTGCAAACTGGAGCATGTGCAGTAGTGAGCGAATGCCTTGTTGAAGAACGGTGGGGCGGAATGTCTGAGCAGTAGGAACGCGAGCTGCGCTTGTGACCGGAGATTTACTGTTGCCTGACGATGCAGACGACGCGACCGTGGTCTTAGAGTCGAATGAGGCCAAGAATTGGTTCACGATGTAGCGGTCATACTCTTTGCCAGCGCGGCGGAGAGCTTCGAGGGCAATCACGAGGAGAATGACGCCGATACACGATCCAGCGAACATACCCTTAGAGGTGATGCGCCATGATCTAGCGATGAAGCCTGCGACTATATCAGCTCTGGAGAAGTGTGGAGCATTGACTATCGTATCGTCCCAGCGGCTCGGTGTGCAGCCTGTAGAGATCGTCTAGTTCGGAGCGCGAAGGTACGTACACGAATCGACCGTATACCAGTTCCATAGCATCTGGAGGCGTTAATTGTTTTCACCTTGACCTGTAGAAGATGAGCCCTACACTGATCTTGCAACTGCCGCCCATGCTCATGCCGCCACCATGCGACATCGCGGGGCTGGAAGCCGTGGCGGCACTGCCTGTTGCAGTCGGCATCATGTTCGCCATATCTGAGGCGCCAGTCATCGCTGCTGAAGCCACGGAAGTCATCATGTTGTGTCCTGAATGATCCATAGTCACGGCTCGGGTGCAGCTGGTTGGGAAGTGAATGTCAGCGATTGATCTGATAAAGGCCAATCCAGACAAGAGAAGTGGGGTAGTGACTAACGTGGTTGAGGTGTTGTTGGTTTATAGTAGGATCGAAGAGTAGCGATTGCTGGACGTGAAGTCTGCAAATGCAATTCACTTATTGGAGTTCCGGACAACCTCTCCAAAAGAGAATGACTACAAGTGAGAAAGGTAGTAGAGTGTCCGAAGAAATCGACGAGGGATCCTAGGTATAAAGCATAACAATCTTGGGTGGAGGAGCTTGGACTGAGTACCCACCAGCACATTAGGCGCGCAAACCTTCTCACCATCGAGCCACCGCACCGGGTGCTACCCGAGTGACAAACCATATCAACGTCCCCAAAAGTCGCCACTTTGTGCACGTTGCTAATACTCCCGCCTTTCCCTGCCCCTACAACGTTCGAATTAGGAAGTCGTGAGGTGAGCATAAGATACGAGATACTTGGCTCGCAGAGCGCCTTTCCTTCACAGGCAAGGTCGCCCCACTTATCGAGAGCATTTGCGCGCTTTGCACCCCACGGAAAAGAATATCATGAGAACGTCTCTCCCAAAAGACTGCTCAATGCTTTCACTTGCGCGGTGAAAAGGTCGAGGTGACTGCCCTCGGTTTGGTTTCTTTGCGTCGTGATTTTCTGGACGGGTTGCAGATCGTTGCAGGCAGCCTAGATTGCACAACAGCAGCGGACGCAGGTCACCGCATAGTAAGCGCCGAGAAGCAAGACCCTTGACTGTGCATATGCTACGTTCCTTCTCACGAAACGGGCGTCAGCAAAAAGCAGAAGCCTGACTGATGTGGTCTGTGAGTGGAACTGAATAAACTATCGCGAAGATACCATTGAGAACCTCCAACTCATCGATTCTATCGACTGTTCTTAATATCAATGATAATACCATGCAGAGCTATGACCATGTGACAAGCAAAAGGGTCACACAAGGCAAAGGCTCGTGTAATCTGAAGCGAACTATCGGTTCCCACGTGGCGTACCAAGAGTCTGCAGTTACTCTTGAGTTACAGCATGTTTCACGATTCGCTCTGTTTCCCACTAATCTGGGTGATTTCTGTTATTTGGCGGGGCTTCCCAAGAATGGTAACAACATGGCGTCTTGCTTGCTGGGCGTCTTGCTGTCAGTTCAGCTCACGCCTCACCATTGAAGCGAGCCAGTAGAGTATTACAGACTATTTTGATGAGGCCAACATCGCATTGAGACTACCTTGACAAGATGTCAGATGGATTCACCTACAATTGTGTTTGTTTTGCCCATTGAGTCAGCGCCAGTAGACAGGGCAATTGTGGCCACCCAATATTTTTAGATATATCTGTCAACCTAGTACAATACAACAGTACATTCACCGCAATGTTCTCTCAAATGTGGTATCTAGTCATCGTTGCGACGTAACGGTTGTACCAGAACTTGTACCAGGCGTACACAACAGAGTTTATGAGAGGGTACTTCACCGAGCTCAAAGATGATTGATACAGCTGACACCAATATGTGAGTAGTCTTATAGTGCTACTATTGAGGATTTTGACTAAGCAGATCAGACCCTAAGCCGGGCCACGACAACGAGATGGACCGAATGCGCAGAAGGATATAATACGATACATGTGAGAGCCTCGTAAATGCAGGTTCAAAAGACCTCGGGTCTCAAGAGTCTACGGGAATCGATTGCAGAGCTGGGAACTACACAATACGCCAAATCAGGAAGGTGGTCGTCTCAACGCCATAGCCTAACTTTACGGACAGGAGCAGTGGAAGCAGAGAGCAGTGAGAACTGAGAGCTAACATCACCCTCGTCCTCGTCCTATACACAACGAACGATGCCTTAATTCGGACGATTTTCAGTATTACTTGGTTGCGTTAAGAGTGGCCATTGCGTCAAACATGATGTAACCGTACGGGGTTCATTGGCTATCCGAAAGGTCAAGCAGCCAGCATTAAGATCTCCATCACAGGTGAGAATGCATCCGTGTGATTGAGCAAAATGGAAAAACACCGTGTTTGGAAACCTGAACGGGAGACGATACCAAATTTTTATTCGGAACAGCAGAGCGTCATCGTAACAAGGTAAATGGGTCAACACGTTGTTAAGTTGTGGCGCTCTCGCATGAGATATCGTCAGACTTTCGCGAGAGTCCGCGTGGAATATATCTCAGGGTGCGCTGCTGGATCTCTGATCGAATGAAAACAGTTCCTTTCCGGGCCCACGTACAAATGCCACGACTAGAAATCAGATTCTCGAAAGTCTTTCTGACATGCCGCTCGCATGATCATCTAGAAAAGCTTCGAATTACTGGGAGAGCCACACTCATTGATCGACGGTCAGCTCTCCAACAACCTGCGTTCCAGAACTTTTTCGAAGCCATTCTGACAGATGAAAAGGATGACCTGCCTCCTCTGTGTAACATCGTCAAGCCTGGTGGTCGTGTCGTCGCTCTCGGTCAATCTGCATCCGTAGGCATGAGAAGCGTGGCAGGACTGTTTCTCAGGAAAGGCGCGACTATCGGGGTCTTCCACCGAACGGCAGACTTTGCGAAGGTTGCAACCCAGCAAATTGAGATCAGATATGCTGCCGAACATTGTGGTATCGCCGATGAAGCGGCGCAAAAGCGCACTCTTCTAGCTGAAGCACTCGGCCTTCTCCGCCGTGGTGTCGTTAGCTCAAGTCCATGTGAGCGCTTCGATCTGGCAAAGTTACCCGAAGCTATCAACAGACTTGCACAAGGTGACTTTGTCGGAAGCGCGATTATCACACGTACAGCCGCTACTCGGATCCCTATTCG